TCAGAGAAACGAGGCTGGTTGATATGTTGGATGCACCTAAGAGAACATGGGTGTGGGGTCTTCTTAGCAAAGTGGATCAGGCATTTTTCATGGGGAACGCAAAATCCGAACTTATCTTCTCCATCCCTTGGAAAGTTGCTGGAAAGACTAGAGCCCACGTTCTATTTGACCGCTGCAAGATCATCCGCTGGTTAATCCTCATGCTCCCTAATTATTGTTTATTGTTTATATAAACCAATGAACAAAACAAGTTATATAGAAACTATAAGATACTATACGGCGCATATATATATATATATATACACAGTATATAACTGTATATACACTATGATACTATACCCAATACATTATGGTATACTACCCTTTATGGGAAACTATCTCAGTATCTCGCAGGAGTGCTTTACAGCAGTGATTTGCCCCACGCGATCCCTGTGGGCGGTTGGCGTTGGCATGAAAGGCGGTTGGCGTTGGGCAACCGTTGTCGGATTCACCCAACCATTTTCACCATCCGCAACATCACCATTTTTACGGGTTGTATATATAACCCCAAATGATAAATGTGTGGCATTGGGTTTGCCACATTATATATATATATAGTATAATAAATTCTGGATACAAATACTACATATTACTATATATATATATATATACATAATTACATATAAAACATCCCCATTGTATGATCCAAAAGATGTGCAAATCCCCTAGGACTAAACCATGTTTGTTTTTTTTTTAGGGGGGAAGAATACATTACCGTCGTGTCAGAATATGGCAAATGTGGGGTATTCACCATTTTGAGACAAATCCATAGACCCAAAGGAGAATGTCACCCGAGGTTAACCTCAGTTCCATGACTCCATGACCAGAAATCATGGCTATCTAAGCAAGAAAGGTGAGCTGATGAGTTGAACCTTTCTTGAGCAGATTTGGTGTAAGCTTGGTGACCAAACAGACTCTTATCCGGATTTCGGTGCCCCACCCACCTCTTGAGCCTTGCTTCAGGCAAGGCTCGGTGGGTTGCATCTTGGCCTGATCTTGGAGGTGAGCTGGCATAGCAGCATAGCATAGCATAGCAATCCACGCACCCTTCTGGAGACTATCTAACCTGATACTGTTAGATCATGGAGATTCGATAGCGACAGTGTGACATGTCGCATCCAAGCATCCAACGTGGCGTTTGGAAATCCGCTGATAGAGGTTTATAGCTGGGAAAAACCATCTATAAACGGGGGGATTTTCCATGCCATGTGTGATTACCAGATTAGAGGGTATCTCTGAGTGGGTTCCCAAAGTTCATTCTGATGATTTACAGAAAAATCTACAGGATTGCATTGTTTTTTGCCCTGAAGCCAATCCAATCACAAGTTCAAGTCGTCCTAAAACCTTAATGGACAATCCCCTATACTCTAGCGTTTTCAGGATTTTGCCGTATCTTCCCATTCCCATATGCTCCATGTACAGAATATTTCCAAACAATTACCCTATAAATGACTCAGTCGTGGAGTCGTATAGGTAAATATAGATCTACAATAATACTATAAATCCTCTACCTATTGATTCTTGTCAGGATTTTCGCGGACTTGTCCCCCACCTTTCCATTCAAAACATGCTACTTTCCCCTTACCAGCGGGGACATTTCTGCCAAGGCCGTCAAATTGGCCCTGGCGCTGGCCGTTGCATTGCAGCAGGTTGGGCGGTTGGGCCCTTGGAAAGTCCACCAACTGGGAATTGTAACTTCAATCAGCGAAAATAGGAGCTCAAAATCCCTCAATTTTGGGACAATACTGATATCTTGAATTTTAACAAATATAATATATATATATATATTAGTATATATATATATTATTATATATTATATAATATTATATAATATTATACATATATTATTATATATTATATAATATTATATATATATATATATTATTTTATATAATATATACATAATAATATACTATACATAATATATATATAATATATATAATATATATATATAATATTTATATAATATATAATAATGTATAAATATATATATATATATGTTTGGACCTCATCTCCAATGGTCCAAAATCATCGGTCTCATCGGTCTCATTGGTCAATCCCCCAGCTCGCGAAATTTCAGGAGGAAATACTGGAAGAGCCACCAGACCTCTCTCAGTACCCTTTGATGGTGGATCTGGTGAAACACGCAGGACCGAACTGGTCTGACCTGTACTGCGGAGGTTTGAGATCTGGGAAATACAAATTGCTGTGCTTGGAGGTTCCTTTGCATTTTCTCAAGGATGCAACCAGAAAGTTGGAAATGACAGTCTGGTGCATTCGACATGAAAATGAGATGTTGGGGACAACGTTGGACCAAATGCTGCGTGTATTTGTTCATATTTTTCCCAGTGCCGGCTTTTTCACCAACTTGGACCGATTCTCAGCTGTCCATTCTTCAGGTCTCAGAAAGCTGCTACCCTTGGGGATAACACCAGTCCTGGGCATCGAGGGCAAAGGTTAGTCTAATGAGGATTTCTTAGGAATGCGAGGCAGACATGGGGGAAAATAGCCACACATGTGATTTTATGGGATTTAATATGATTTATATAATGCGATTTGCTTGTACTTTAATGGTGATTAAATGGGATTCACCCTATGTTAGTTTAACATAGCCATGGAACATCACCATGAAGAGGTGAATAATCGAATACATAGCCATTTTCCATGGCTATGTTAGTTTACTGGAGGGTAGGTAATTGGTTTGCAATTGGAGGTCTATGAAAGGCAAACTCCCAACAACCCTGGGAGCACAAACATACAGGACTGATTCATAAACAGTCTGATCAAGAACGGATGATGGTCCTTTTTCGTGTCCAAAACCGTGTTGGATTTTGCAAGTTTAGGTCAATGGGGATGGGTCAGTCCCATCCACCAGCTATGTTATAACCACCAAAATCACAGGGTTACTCGACATATCCATGTTTCAGCAGCCCCGCATCCACCAGGAGAAGCAAAAAAGATGCTGAACTGATGCTGAGCGGCGGCTCAGGGGACCCAGGATGGCCACTTGCAGTTGCGGTGAAACAGTTAAACTTGCATGTTTGTTTACATTTGTTTACTGCAGGGCAAAGTTGATGTTTCTGATGTTTTTCAGAGTCTTTCTCTGGGTTGCCTTGGGCTGGCACGCAGCTCGCGTGCTAGGATTCGGAGCCACATTTATGTGTTACATCTAATTCGTCGGAGCAATTCGGCCGTGGAACCAAAACATGTGACCCGATCCTTTTTCCACCTCCCAGATAATCCAGGTATATTTTTTTCGTTGCCTACATTTGCCTTCAAATCAAACTTAAATGGAGGTTTCCTAAAATAGCGGGATACCCCCAAATCATACATTTTTTAATTATATAATTTATAATAGGATTTTCCAGTATAAAGCATCAATTTTGAGGTACCCCCATGACTATGGAAACCTTATCAAGGTATTGCAACTACACAGACCATGATAGACCTATGGAGCCATCTTGGACCGTCCTCAAGCACTCATGGTGGATGGCTTTTTGCCGCCAAGAGACTGGCCACCAATGTGGCCAAGCCATGTAAAGCCAACAAGGGTTGTTGTAAGTTGTATCCAGTTCTACATCATGTGATCATTTTTTCCGATATATAATAATGACACAAACAAATCAGAAGAAAGACTTGAAAGGCTGGGATTTGCGACATATTTGGTTTTAGACCACGTATAAAAATGAGTTGGTGCATCACTTGAACGCCATCATCCCGGACAGTCCTTGGAAGCTGCTGCTGTGGGTCACATTTTGGTGCTGGCCAGAATCCACTTGTCCAATGTGATGTGTGACCTATCCGCTTGTTTGGGAGCGAACGATCTGGAGCTATGGTAGCTATGGCTATCCATATTCCCTACCAAATTGGGAACCAGTTGGAGCTACTAACTAACAGTTTCCCATCCACATGACAGCTAAGAAAAGCCAAAATGGGCAGTTTGTGGATGTTGGAAATAGATGAAATAGACCGGTGATTGTGTGCCCGAAAGTGATGACAGCTTGTGTGGAGAACCTTTCATTCAGCCACCCATGTCATGCCTCTAAAAATGAGGAATTTCCATTTATATAATGGAACACATGATGATGAAACAATGGGATATGGGGGGCGGTACCATATTTTCAGACAAACCCATAGATTTGGTTGTGCCTGATACAACATTTTTTATTGGGTGTCACCCTATAACTACATAACATACGTGCATTATCACCTTACCACCAAAAACCTGGAGGGTGCAATTACTTTTGGTCACCTTTTGGATTTGTTCCTCTTCTCTTACATTGTTTTCCAAGGGACAACATAGAAAAACCATTGGACAGGCGAAGTTGACTGTGGCAAGGTTGATGGACACAACCCAACCGCATCCAACTCGGTGTTTCCATCACCCTGGATACCCCGATGTCCAGGGGGCCGGATCCACATGGATGTTTTCCGGTGTTGCAGTGGATGACATAGGTATGTATATATATATATAGGTATCATTGGAAACTTATACGATTGGGAGAACTCAGCGATTTCTAAGGTTTTCTGCGGACAGGTTGGAGATGATGAAAGGAAGTGTGAGTAACTTAGCCAATCAGAGTTGTAGCAACACGGCTACATTGCCGCAGCCGACCAACACGAAGATTATTCTACATGAAACAGATGGGTGTGTTGAATTCTGGGGCAGGGCGCAATCGCAACTCAACAGTTAACATGGGTTAATTTGAAAATGGGGAATGCCCCCAAATTTGATGGTTTATCAGTTTATCATGGTTTATCAATGTTTATCATCATTTCCTTATGAACATTGGATATTGATGAATATTGATGGATAATTATTGATGGATATCGATGGGTATGGACGGATATGGATGAAAATTGATGGATATTGATGGATATTTACGGATATGTGTGTAACGTTTCTCCATTTTCAGATATAGCCATGTGCTTTATCACTTGTGCTAAGTGGAAGGCTCATATGCTCACTGGCCATGATCGTGATGCAGAGATGCTGAAAGGCAAATAGGGAGTAGCTGATATATCGAGGTTTTTAGATAAGGCAGCTCTGAACCTCTGGAACTCTCTGGAATTTTCTGGATTTCAATGGAATTCTATTTGTTTTCCACACGTAGAACAAGTTCAACTCATTACATTTGCGAATTACCAGGGAAAAGGTAACAGCAACAGGTATGATCACATCAGATCTACCCTTGATTGAGCGAATTACCAGTCTCAGTAGAGACGTAACAATCATGATATTGTCACCATGTTTTTCCCGCGGGAAACTATCGGTTTTCCAAATCGATGTTCATTGATGTTAAATGATCTAGAGGGATTGTGCATTCACTACAGTTCATTGCGCGGGACTTTGCGGTTGAGATGTTTCCAATTGGCGGATCTCCAAAGGTTTTTGGTCGATCATTCTGAGATTGGTGGACTTGTAAGGTGACAACAACGTGGCCCCCACCTACTGTAGCTAGCCTAGTTTATGTTGAATATATGCATAAAAAGAAAATACACAAATACATATGAATGATGCATATTGTTACACATGTGTTACAGACGAACGTATTGGTATCACTAATTTAGTTTTGCTTCGCCGCAGCCTTGTGGGGTGTGCAACAGGACAACGCCATACTGATACCCCAAAGCCTTATTTGAAGTCCATAATCTGAATTGATTTGGTAAATTTGCACCCCAAATTAGAGATAGCCGATAGTGTCATTGATTCATTGATTCATTGATTCATTCATTTATTCATTCATTCACGCATTCAGTCAGTCAGTCAGGCAGTCAGGCAGTCAGTCAATCAATCGCTCAACGATGCGGTGGTGAGTTCAATGAATGCTTGTGGCATCAAAAGACTTTCCTATATGCCCCCATTTCCATCTCGCTCATGAGTTTTCTTCGCCGGCTACTGATAGGGGACGACCGTGTTAGTGTATAGCATTTTGACAGACGAAGAACTTTGTCCGCAAGTCATACATGCAAACTAAGGTTTATGGTGGTGCACATACCTCACACATTGAACGAATACTAAATTTGTACAAATTTGTGAGCGTTTTTAAAAAAAAATGACGGGCTCAAGCGCGCAATGGAAATTCAATCAGTTTAACCGTTGGTTTCCAATGGTTTCCAATGGTTTCCAATGGTTTCCAATGGAAAATCAAGGTTTTATCTTCGTTTATGGAAGTAGCACTGGAATCACTTGATCCGCGCCGTTTTGCAGCAGCGACTTCTCTCTGGATCCGCGACGACGTTCCCAGGCATTCCTTCGGCCGTTGCCAGGTGAGTCGAAGTTCATCCCCTGAGTCAAAAAACAGCCTGAGGAAATATATATACAATGTGGGGCCCCCAAGATAGCTAAGTTGGTTTATAACTCCAATAACTATGGTTTATGGTACTTATAACTATAGTTAATGGGGTTTATAAACCAACTTATAACTGGGGGGCCTCACATTGTATATATATATACTGTAATAAGTATATATATATATATGTATACCAGTAATACCGCACGGTCGGCGGTGGCAGAAGTTTCAAAAATAGGAAACCGAAAAAGGAGAGAGAGGTTGGTTGTTGTGAATCATGGATGGCAGAGCGAACACTTTCCACTATTGAAGAACTCGATGGTTCATGGGCTGATCTTTTGGGAATGGCACTGACTGAGATACAACAGCTATAAGTAAAGCAATGGAGTTCAGAGCAAAGGGGACACTTTACCTGGAACGATTAGTGTTCTTCCTCAAGAAATTCTCTTCAGTTCTGGGGGAAACTTGACAAGTCGCAACGCGATTTGAGCTGCCTAAAAAAGGACTGATGCTCCTGACTGAAGGGAAGTAGCCACTATGATTTGAACATTTAGTTACATACACCACAAGACCCTGACACGTCATGTTTCGGCCACAGCGAAGTTTGGTGACACTCTGGCGAAGGCCGACGCGGGAATGCACGTTCGGATTAATATGGTCGCTACAGCGTAGGCTCCGTAGACATGCACTTACTGGTACCACTTATGTAACAAATTGTAACAGTAAGCACATGCACAAACACACAAACACACACACACACTCTGAGGCATGAACTCAACGCATTACTTGTACCATGTGGATTCCCATGTGGTTGTAAGTCACATGAACGGTGGAACACATAACATGGAGGGTTTTTTGGGCTTCGTCGATGCAACAATGCCATCTTGAAGGCACACACTAGATGAACACATTGCCACTCGGAATGGTCTGTTGGGAAATTCACCCCTCATCGATGAAACAACATGATGCTGGATGTAAAGAAGGCAGTAGCTGGTAATTCATGTACTGAATGATGGCAGCTTTTGCAATAACAAGTCGGTGAACAAACTTTTGTTGAAAAAATGTACCCTTTTGGAACCTCTTGGTTTTACCAAGAGATTTGCAAAACTGTATGATCGTTGTGTGTTTCTTCTCAAACTGTTGTAAAGGAAATACTCTTTTGGAACCC